GAGAGAGAGAGAGAGAGAGAGAGAGAGAGAGACTTAGCACAACATCAGGCCAATACATCTGGTCACTCTTCTAGCTCCAGGAAAGCCAGAGGGGTAAAACTTAAGCACATACACCTCAGGGAAATTAAAGACGGAATAAATCACAGGATCCAAACAGCATTTCTGCTCATTTCCAAAAGGCTCTTTTGAATTATATACTTCTGCCTGCCTTGGCACAGTGACCATGGCAATGCGATCCACAGAATGTGTGAATGCAGTATGTGCTGGTGAAAGCAACCATGCTGTTCTGGACTGGACTCAATGTACCTGCATGAAGTCTGGAACTAGAATAACACTGCTCACCAGAAAGAAGTCTTTGTGCTGTGTGTGTGTGTGTGTGTGTGTGTGTGTGTGCGCATATCTGCCAGTCTACGAGTGCTTGTGTATAAATGTGTAAGATACATTTTCAGATCTCGAGCTTTCTTATATAATTTATGATATTCTTCATGTTGTTTTGCAATAAATCAAATCCTCCAAATCAACAGCAGAATTTAAGGTCAAAAGAATTGATAATCAAGTCAATTTTTTTGAAATAAGTCTGTTAAATGTTGAACTAGTGAATGATGAGACCGTCGCTGCTTAACATATATACTAACAGAAAAAAACAAAGTTCCTGTAATTTGTAAATGATCTCTTGTACACCTTTTGTATCTGTGGCGTTCTGTAAATTCAAGAATATAATTTAAAATCCTTCTCACCTACAAAGCCCTTATTGGTCAGGCACTGTCATATCTTAAGGAGCTTATAGTACCATATTACCCTACTAGAGAGCTGCGCTCCCTAAATGCAGGGCTACTTGTGGTTCCTAGGGTCTTATAAAGTAGGATGAGAGCCAGAGCCTTCAGTTATCAAGCTCCTCTTCAGTGGAACCAGCTTCCAGCTTCAGTCCGGGGAGCAGACACACTCACCACAGTAGGCTTAAGGCTTTTCTTTTTGATAACGCTTATAGTTAGGGCTGGCTCAGGTCTGCTTTAGTCCAGCCCCTAGATAAGCTGCTAAAGGCCTCGACTGCCGGGGGACTTCCTACGATACACTGAGCTCCTCTCTCTCCTTCTGTATGAATTCATGTCCCATTGAGGCGCTTTATTAACTTTGCTTCTTCCCAGGAATCTTTGTGCTTTCTCTCCTCACAGGTTTCCGTGGATCGTGGTTTTATCTGGACTGTGGTCTTGCCTCCTGTCGTGGTCCCGACTGACACCCAATGTCAGCATCACCATTATTAGTCGTCGCATTGCTACTGCCGATTCCATTACTGCTTTTGTTATCATTGTTATTCTACAATATCCACTGCTGTTATTATTAGTAGTCGTCATTTTTAGATCATTATTCTGCTTACTTCTCTCATTACATGAATCATTTCTGTCATGTGCATTTAATGTGAACTCTGTTATGTTGTTTATTCTGTACACATGACATCTATTGCACTTCTGTCCTTCCTGGGAGAGGGATCCCTCCTCTGTTGCTCTCCCTAAGGTTTCTTCCTTTTTTTTCCTGTTCTGGTGCGAGGGTCCTGGGACAGAGGATGTCACATGTGTACAGATTGTAAAGCCTTCGGAGGCAAATTTGTGATTTTGGGCTGTACAAAATAGATTGAACTGTATCCTCCTTCCCAGAATCAATCTCCAAATAGCACAGGATAGTTGACAGACATCATTAGTTTGTCATCAAAACTCCTAAAAAGCAAAGTATATAGGTTATTTGTTTTTGGCATGATTTAGTGTTCATCTCCTGAGAGGACGAATACAATTTCCACCAGTCAACAGCTACTGTGAAACACATTACCAAAACAGAATCAAGCCAAGTACAGTAACACAGTACACGTGTATTCACATAAACCAGGAGATGAATAGTATTGCTGAACTGTTGCAGCTGCCACTGAATCAGTCCAAGGTTGAGCTTTGAAGAAAAAGGAAATCCATATTAGGTTAGTTATTTATCAACTGGAACTTCCCTAAACTGTACTTTGTTAAATGTTATGAATGAAAAACTGGGAACCAACATTAGCGCATTCACTTATTTTGTATTTCATTTCATCAAAGGAACTACAAAAGTTCATTTGTAGTTCATTAACAATGGTCATAGTCAAATGTTAAGACACTTTATGTGTTAATTATCTGATCAAAAATACCTACTGCTAAATTATTCATTAAGAATGATTCTCAATACACTGTTCAACCTTTTTATCCTCACTATCAAGTAACTGAAGGTGGACACATTCATCAGTGGAGAATAAAACCAGTTCAGACAGCAGCTCATCCCTTAAGACCTCTGTGGTCAGAAAGCTGAACAGTGTTGTGCCACACAAGATGGGTGTCTTCTTTCTTCCCTCTCTCTCTCTCTCTATCGCCTCTTCTGATCACGTATTAAATTATTTATATCATAAAACTGTACAGTTCTACAGACGTTTCATCTGTAATGAAAATGCATAGTTAGTTTGCATAACTAAGAACGATCACAAGTAATTATATACCGTTGCTGTTTCTGTCGGAGGGGAGGTTTGTGGAGGTTTGTGGAGGTGTTCTGATCCTCCCTCACAGTGGCCTTGGTTTGTCTATCACATCTGCTTTGCAAGTGTGCAAACCCCCCCCCCCCCAAAAAAAAACACAAGGAGGGAATGTTTCATGAAGGATTCAGGCTGTCCACATCAGCCATGTTTTATTAAAACCTTTACAAAGGCGGTAAGTGAACAAAGCAGACAGGGGCAGGTCACTCCGCAGAGAGACGTTACAGGAAAGCTGACGTAAGGGAAGGAGAATCCTGCTCTGGAGTAAAAAAGCGAATGCGTGTAAGACTACAGCCTTGAGGAGATGTTACACTAAAACTTGATCGAGAGCTGATCTGTAAAATCAAAATCAGTCAGAATACTGCCTGAAAAATCACATTAAAAGTGCACCTCATTTGTTTAACTTGATCAAACCATTAAGTGTTAACAGTTTAACATTTAGTATGCAGAGTGGCAGCACACATATCTGGTTGCATAACACACACTGCACAACAAGGTTATGTACACCTACTCAATAAGCATGATATTTTATAGTGCAGTTTGTGACTTGACACGTCACTAAATGATTTGGG